GAGAACCCCTCCACAAACCTACTATAATACCCGGCCAAACCCATAAAACTGCGAATCTCTGTTGGAGTAGTGGGTCTAGGCCAATCCTTCACCGCTGCAATATTTTGAGGATCAACCCTAATTCCTTCTCCGGAGATGACATGACACAGGAATGTAACAGATTCAGGCCAAAATTCACATTTCGAAAACTATGCATACAAGTGGTGGTGATGAAGAGTCTACAAAATTGCCCTGAGGTGGTCGGCGTGATCCTCTCGACTTCGTGAATATACAAGGATGTCGTCAATGAATACTATCACAAAAGAGTCAAGAAACGGTCTGAAGACTCGATTCATAAGATCCATGAAAGCTGCCGGGGCATTTGTTAGCCCGAAAGACATTACCAAAAATTCAAAGTGCCCATATCCGGTTCTGAAAGCTATTTTCGGAATATCCTGCTCCCTTACCTTCAATTGATGGTACCCGGACCGCAAATCAATTTTGGAGAACTTAGCACCTTGTAATTGATCAAACAAATCATCTATTCTAGGCAATGGGTATTTGTTTTTGATTGTGACTTTGTTGAGTTGCCGGTAATCAATACACATCCGCAGTGATCCATCTTTCTTCCTTACAAAGAGAACCGGTGTGCCCCAAGGCGATACACTCGGTCGGACGAAACCTTTCTCTAGCAAATCCCTTAGTTGTTCCTTTAGATCTTTTAATTCTGTCGGCGCCATGCTATAAGGTGGAATGGATATAGGCTACGTGCCCGGCATCACATCAATCCCAAAATCAATCTCCCTATCTGGAGGAATTCCAGGGAGCTCATCCGAAAATACATCGGGGAATTCATTCATATAATTGGTACAGATTCAAGGGTAGGCACCTTAGCTGCGGTGTCCGTAACTCGGACAAAATGGTAAATATACCCCTTCATGATCATCTTTGTGGCCTAAAGGTAAGAAATAAACATACCTTTTGGCATAACAGTATTCCCCTGCCACTCAACAGCTGGCTCGTTAGGAAACTCAAGCCTCATGTTTCTGGCTCAACAATCGAGTTTCGCAAAACATGAATAAAGCCATTCCATTCCCATTATTACATTAAAATCAATCATCCCTAGTTCAATCAGATCGGCCATGGTATCCTGACCACGCACCGTGACAACACAATCCCTATAAACCCGTGCAGCCATAATAGACTCGCCAATTGGAGTAGATACAGAGAACGACTCATGAATCTGTTCCGGTTCTATCCCGAAGCTCGTAGCAACATAAGGAGTAACATAGGACAAAGAAGATCCGGGATCAATAAGGGCATACACATCATGAGATTGAACAATCAATATACCTGTGACGACATCCGGGGAAGCCTCCGCACTCTGTCGACCACTCATAGCATAGAATCGGCTGGGTCCTCCCGAACTGTGTGCACCACCCCAAGTTGTACCACGCCCTCCGGGTGCTGAAGAGCCTCAAGCTGGAGGGTGTGCTGATGATGTGGCAGCTGTTGGACTGGATGACTGAGTTGTGCCCCTGCCTGCACCCTGACGGGATGCACGACACTTCCTCTAAAGGGGGAGAAAGTAGCAGTTCTTTTATATTTTCTTGTGGTTGTCTTGTGTCTCCAGAAAACTTGCAGGTAAATTACACTGAAAATTGAGGGGGAGTCGACTACAACAACTGACATACATGATGTCAAACTAAGGAGGAGTCGACTAAAACATCTGACATGAAACACAAATTAAGGGGGAGTCAAGTACAACTAATACAGAGTCGACTGATATACAGGAAAGTAAACTGATGTTATCACATTATTATTTTGTCATCATAAAAAAAAGGGTAGATTGTTAGATCTACGTTTATTTTAATGATGCAAAATAACACATCTTTTATGTGTAGGAACACTCCTAAAGCAATAGAAAGAAAGAGTATCTAAGATTAGAGACGAAAAAGGAAAGAGTAGCGGAAATCCGAAGGGAAAATCAATCAAGGATTTGGCAGCATATTAATGGAGAATATTATAGGAAGGACCTAAATTAAAGGAATCAAGATGGTGAAACTATGCACTAAAGATTCCTCCATCAAAGGAAGACAGTTAAAAGCTAGAATCAAGGGATCGGATTTGATTTATCAAATAACAGAAAGATCTGCTTAGCAAATGAAAAGTCCAATCAAGACCACAAGTCAAGGTAAATCAACAAAAGTAACATGTTATTCTTGGAAAGAATCATTCTATGTTTCCTTTCAAGGATCAACTCCCTTGGGTTTGCAATTTCTCAAGATTCACGTCATTCAAGAGACAAAAAGACCTCACAGAGTATATATACATCCGTACCAGTCTTGAAGCCATATACTTTGATCACACCAACTTCGTACTCATTGTTCTACTATATATAAACAAACATTGTAATCTTAGTAAAGTTTACTGTGTAATCAGTAGAGAGAAGAAAGAGAGAAAAATATTGGTGAGGTATTGTATCGAAAATATCACGAACGTACTTAGATTCAAAAGTGAGTTGGTATTTGAAGATAATATCAACACAATTGTACGAAATTATTCAAGGAGCTTTGAAGAGAGAACACACTTGCAACCCAAGGGGACTGGAGTAGGATTCACATTGAATCCGAACCAGTATAAAAATCTGGGTGTCTTTAATTCCTGCACTTTGCTTCTGCTTTCAGTTATATTCTGTTTTTACTTTCAGTCAACTAATTAGTAAACTAGTCAATTACTTAGGATATAAAAAGAAAAATCGACAATTCACCCTCCCCTATTGTACTTTCAATCTTTGTGCTTGTATTGTAGATCGAATGACCATGGGTTTTTAAATTTCTTTTGCTATTATGCTCTAAAGATCTTTGCATGTGCAAATTTTTAGTGATGCCAAAAGGGGGAATAAGTGTTGGGTGGTGCTTGTACACCGAAAGAAACTGGTTATCTGATATAGTGCCTACTAATTTCTGAATAAGTTGAATTCCAGTTGTGTATGTCTTTTGCATGTCTGGCCATGAACAGGTTTGAATTCATGATATAATTAAAAACGAGCACATTTGTTTGTCATCATTAAAAAGGAAGAATTTGTTAGGTATTAATGTATTTTGATGATTAACAAATTAAATATGGCCTTGTATGTGTTTCGTACAGGTTCACATATGCTTCAGTGTTTTTCAGAACAAATAGGCTGCAATTGTTAAGGACCAGGTACTTGGTCAGTCCTAATAGGAGTAGGACTACATTAGTAAGGATTATAGGGCACGTTTGAGGATCTTTGTGTATCTGCTATTTTAATGCATGCAATACGCGATAATACACAAAAGATTTTGCTAACACATTGAGTTGTAAATGGAGTCTTTTTATGGTCTGCAATTTATTATCTTTGGAAAGTATTTAGGGCGGCTTAGGAGTCCTTACTTGAAAAGGACTTGGAATTAGTTAGTCCGTACCTGCATAGATTTATTTTGCAGGTTCTCACCTACACACATTGAGAGATCATGCAGAGAAGTTGAGAGCTTTCAATCAATTCATTGCTTTGAGAGTTCGAAGACTGGTCATCTGAGAGTGTGTAAAGAATCACTGGAGTTGTTTGTCCTTTATTTCATTGTTTGATTCTTTTTTTATAGGCTATCGATTTGTAACTTTTAGCGCATTTAGAAGTACTCGTAGGTCGTTTTTGTTTTGAAAAAAAAGGAGTTCAACAGTTGCGAATCTATGCGAAGGGCTTAGGGAGAAGTCCCAGGTTGCAAGCGTTGTAATTTGAATCTTAAGCTCGTTTATTTGGTGGGTTTTAGAGAAAAATCCTATAGAGTTAGATCGTGGTTTTTTTTACCCTTTTAGCCGGGTGATTTTTCACGTAAAAATCCTATATTCTTTATTATTTCGCACTTTATAGATTTAGTTGTCTAAACTAAAAGAAGTTAAAGAACCAGGTTCGTAGGTAAATTTAAGTAAGTGCAACAATTCGTTACGATCCAAATTCACTTCCCTCTTTTGTCAAATTAGGTGCACCCAAACTAACAATACTTATATACTCTCTCCGTTTCAATTTATGTGAACTCATTTGTCTGGGCACGGAGTTTAAGAAAAGAGTGAAGACTTTTGAACTTGTGGTGTAAAATGAGGCACATATAAATCATTACATAAAGGTAAATTATTTCCAAATAAGGAAATTGGTCATTCTTTTTTGCACGGACTAAAAAGGAAATAGGTTCACAGTTGAGGGAATATATAATACCTGCAGTGATCAAAATACTTGGATGAACCTAATTTTCCATTTTGCAGTTTATTATGAGAAATAGGTAGTATGATTGTGCTTTTGTCGCCAACTATTATTACAAGATGCAGGGGGGGGGGGGGGNTTTTGCATCCTCATCCAAAAAAGTACCCTACGTTAATCAATTTCAATCATTAATTTCTGCAGTTTTGCTATTAATATCTGTTATACTCTGTCATCAAAACCAGCACTGATAGGCATTCTTCTACGTGCTTCATTCTGCAAGAGAGTGAGTGGGGCTTGTGGAATGGTCAGAGATGTTGTGTGGATTTGCCCATTAGCTCCTTTGATCACTGTAATGGGGAGCTCACAGGTAGTTGGGGCCACAAAGTGTATTTCCTTTTTGTGATACGTTCTTTCCAACATGACCCTCTTATATATTATTAGGTCAGGCACATTCTGGTAATCATATAAGACTCGAAACTATAACTTTTATTTGCTCGAATGTAATAAAAAGTCTATATTCTTTGATAATATATGAACAAGTACATGAAATATATATATATAAATATATAAGATGTATCTTTTTCACAAGGATTAAGCTGCCCTTACATTAAAGATACAGTACAAAATATTCATAATGTTATCAAAAGCAATAAGTCTCGTCAAATACATATTGCTGATTCGCATGTTTATCAAAGCAACTCGTCAAACGCATTTTGTAGATTCGTCCTTGCATATTTCGTTGTTTTCGGGATCTTCTAATGAATTGACATTAAAATTAAGTAAATTTTTGCAGAATCATCTTAGTTCTCCAATTGTGAATATGCACTAACAAATTCCACTTCTACATATTACAAGCGAAGTTTCAAATGGATAGTGATGACAATTACAAAATATAAAAAAGAGAGAAAGTACCATGTGATATTACAAACACAATCACTAGATACCTAAGAACGTTACTAAACTTGTTGAAACAACACCTTGGATATATGAATGTCGATTATTTCCTCTGTAATATGTGCAGTGTAGTAAAAAGTCTTCGCAACTGCAAAAAAAGTTTGCTTAATGTCTTGATTGATGTTGCTTGAGTAGTTACCGAAAACTAGCTTCACAAGAGCTTGCATGTCTAATTCAATATCAGTGGTCTTTGAGCTGCCAGTAGTCCTACTACACCATTGGTCAGCAGATATCTAACAATGTTTTTGATTCAAACAGGGAAAAAATAGAATTAGAAAGCTATAAACAAAAAGGAAATTAAAAGATGATTATGCATAGAGTATAATTTCAATAGACTAGAAATGTAAATAATTAAAATTTAAACTATTAGATCACCTAAAAAATACTGTATCTATAAGTAGCCATTCATAAAAAGTTGAATTAGTAATATGAAAAGTAAGGTTGATTCGCTAAAATACACGATAGTGTAAAACGTTAAGTAACCTGCTATTAGAGGATAACATTTAATGGTAATACATCTTTATACAATCATGTTTTAATAGGTAAATGGTAAATCTCTTAAAAATATTAATTAATATGTGGTAATTAACCTGCTTTCACAGGTTATAATTTAAAATTTTTTTACGTTGTCCTTATATATAACTTAAAACCAATCTTTATACATAAATATAACTTAAAACAAATCTTTATATATATAGTGATTTCTAACCTGGTCGTTTTGGAGCTCATTAAGCATGCGACATATTTTATTGGTCAGGATGGATAGGTTATTGTACTCTGCATCAAATAGTATTTCATCATGTTTCATATGGCCAGCTGAAAGATAAATTGTCTGCACTAGCAACTCTGCGTCTTCTTGGCAGGCATTCTTCTCTTCCCTCAAGGAGATCAACCATGTTTCCCACTACATCCAAAAGAAAATAAATAAGATCACATATCATATGATGAATTTGAATTTTGGGCATCATTGGTTAGTTTCAGAGGTTCTCGTCCTGTTTGCAAAGGCGAACCTAATATATAAAATCGATGAGTAGAGAAAAAATATGTTATCTTATTATGTGTATATAGAGAAGAGTGGGTTGCTCTAGTGGTAAGTACCCTCCACTTCCAATCAAGAGGTTGTGAGTTCGAGTCACCCCAAGAGCAAGGTGGGCAGTTCTTGGAGGGGGGAGCCGAGAGTCTATCGGAAACAGTTTATCTACCCAGGGTAGGAGTAAGCTCTGCGTACACACTAACCTCCTCATACCCCACTAGTGGGATTATACTGGGTTGTTGTTGTTGTATTATGTGTATATATTTTAAATTTTTATAAATATTTACATGGTTAGAGCTAAAATAATGGATTCACTTGAACTTACGAGACTCATCTAAAATCTGCTTCTCTTTGTTTAATTTATTTCTTCCATAGTTAAACGGATAAAGTGAATGATGAATCTAATCACTAGTAAGACTGCTGCCTTTTATTCGTAAGTGTAAGGTTCGATTTTCATCAAGACCTTTTCTTTTTCCTTACCCTCTTCCAGGCCTCTTGTTGTGAAAAATTGTATGTTAACTAGTACAGAATACACACAGAGCAAACTGACAAGAAATAATTACACAAGGAATCAACGAGTTTTGGCCTAGCCTAACCTTCGGGACAGAAATAGAGAGAGTTTTTCATTATAAATAAGAAAATTAAATAGTACAATACACTATAAAGAATCTCCATATATAATCTCTATATATATATCTCAAGTAGTCTGAAAGCTATAACATAATGATTTTCTCAATCCTATAAGGACAATTCATTTTTTCTTTCTCAATTTTTTTAGAACAATGAGTTTCCTGAAAATACAAGAAAAAAAAGTTCAAGATCCAAATAACAAATCTTCCTCGTGACTTGAATTTTCTTTATTAATAGGAATGCCTCTCTCTCTCGCCCACCCCTCACAAAGGGCTTTATCCATTATTGTACATTAACTAAGTTTAGGCTTGATCATTCAAAGTCAAAAAAAAAAAATTTATATTCCTCTTCATCCGAGGAACAGCCAATATTTAATGATTATGATAATTCTATCGAACATTCTTAATCTAATATTACCAATCCCTTCTACCGATAATAGATTATTATTTTCTAAGTAAACAGTCTTACTCGTCTGCTTAAACGTTGCAAATCAATTCTTGTGTGGACACATGTGAGAAGTTATTCTAGAATCAAGAACCTAAAGATTCTGCCCATGATTAGAACTCAAGCCACAGACTTTCCCTACGTAGTCATTGTCATTAGAATTGTTGCCAGTGTAAATAATATTTGTAGAATTATCTACTTTCTATTTTTTTTTCTATTTCAGCTTAGGACAATATCTCCTATAGTAACTCTGTTCCCGCACTTACAGCAATTCTGCTCCTTGCTCTAGATTTCGATCTAGCTTTAGATTTTTTCCTATTAAAGTCTTTCTATTGTGTTCTTCCTTTATTTACAAGATCCTCGCCCTCAGTTCCGCTCTCCGGAAAGCATTTTTCAATTCTTTAGATTTTAGTACATTACAAACATTATCTAATGAAATACTGTCCTTTTCAAATAGCAATTTATCAGCAAGGCTGGATCTTCACTCTCAATTTTATTATATCTACATTCATCATGTCCATTATAATTGAATTAGCTCATCAAGGTGAGTTTTAACAAGTGTATTTTCATTCATATGGAGATTATACAATCTCATTTTCAAGTAGAGGCGATTTGTCAGCGATTTCTTAGAATACAGATCTTCCAGCTTTTTTATGTCGGTGTTGCATGCAAAGGTTTCTCAATTTCCCGAAGAACGCATTTTGTAACTCTTGTGAATATCAAGATTCAAAGCCCTCTCCTTCAGGTCTGTCTTCTCTGACTATTTCATCTTTTCAAAAAAAATCTCATCAATTACTTTCTATAACACCCTTATAAAATCAAGGATGATCTAATCCTAATCTTGCATATATACACATAAACTAGATCCCACATCGGATTTCTTTACTTCATACTTTTTTAAAGATGGTGAAGATATCTTAACCCTAGAATATTTGTAGAAACCCTAGCCTGGCTGAGATACTAATTGTTGCGGAAGATCGTGAGTTAACTAGCACACAATCACACACAAAGAATATCCACTTACAACCTCTATATATTGATCCCAAGTAGTCCTAAACATATAAGAGAATGATTTTCCCAATCCTACAAGGACAATAATGTTTTTTTCGTAAATCTATTAGAACAATGGGGTTTCAAACAAGGAAAAAATCCAAGACACAAAAAATACATCTCCTATTACCCCAAGAAAAGTACTGTAATTGGTAAAGTTACTATTTGTGCTTTATCATGTTGCTTGTGTATCTTTTGTGATATAATAAGGTACAGTAAAAGGCCTTGTATATACTCACTGCATTGTGTAGTTGGTGATGGATCTCTTTGCCGAGGTCTTCATATGTTGCTTTGGAGAGTTGGTGCAAAAACCGACGAAGATTGTTGAGAACCATCTCTTTTGTTTTATTACTGCAACGAAAAAGAAAATTGTCAAAATAACTTGTCATAGCTAGGTTAAATATCTAATCAGCTCAGCAATCAGCTAGGTAACTTTTTGCGTCCTATGTGATAAGAAATCAGAGAAATTAGAATTGCCTATGTAGGGACGTAGTTGGAAGATGGTATTAAAGTAACTCTAGTTTGACAGGAATGTTGGTGGTTAGGATAGAAGATGTAGTGATCTTTGGTATTAGATACATGTTTGGGGACGGAACCTATGATCTAAGGGGATTCAAAAAAAAATTTAGGATGTTGCACTTGAAAATTAAACCTATGACCTAAAGTAACTTTTGAACCCTCTTCGCTATAATACTTGAATTTTTCTTTATATCAAGGAGATTCAATGGGTCACATATATATATATGATATAACCAACAAAATAATTTTTATCGTATTTGCATAGTATAATTCTATAACGAAGTTGAACCCCCTTCGTACTACATAGTTCCGCCTCTACGGCTAGCACCTTGGGGTAGAATCCTGAATTTGGAAGACTTGAAGTAAAAATATAAGCCTAATGAATCTTTTTTGGGTTATTGAACAAGTATTGATGTAAATTGAATATCTTGGTGTAGACATTGAGTTGTTAGCAACGTTAGAAAATCGAGGGTGAAAAGCAAGTTAAGGTTTATTTAGACTTAGTACCTCTTGGAGCATTTCTTCTGCAAATTCATATGTTTGAAATGGTTTAGAAACTTGATACTAATAGAGAATCCTAACTTGTGGGACGAGCGGATTAGAGTTGCACTGTTGTTTTACATCATGAATTGCTTAAGTGTTATTTGATTTTATATTTCGTGAAACATGACGAATTTATGTTTTTGAAAGCATAAATGTTTTGCAATATGTTTATTTCTCATTTGGTAAATGATTTGACATATTTTACATTTATATATGTATTCAGATGTATTGGATTGGTCATGAGTGCCAAGATGTGATAAGAATATATTACTCTGAGGTTATTAATGTCATGTGGTTTATTGTAAATACCAAATATTTTATGATTTACTTGTGAGAGCCGAGATTGATATGCATATGAATCTGATTTGTTTCGAGAAACTGAACATGCCGGTGTATGGGACGTAGGCTAAACACAATGGTTTAAGCCTACATGTTAAAGTCCTCCATGTGTCGGCACTTTTAGGGGCGGAGGCACGTTCTTCGTCGAAATTTTTTAATTATATATATATATATATATATATATATATATATATTGTAAAAAACGAATAAATAAAAAAAATGGCACCACTTGACACATATTGTGTTCTAATATGTTGGTTATATGTCTGATTTTGCTCTAAGAGGTCAGCGGTACAAATCTCAACTAGTATGTATGTTTGACAAATATTTGATTGGGCCTCTGGTTAAATATTATGATTAAATATAATTTGAACTCAAAACCTTTTTTAACTGAAAACTCAACAAAACTAATAGACTAAGGCTATTTTTTAACTAAAAATATGATAATTAAAATAATTTATTCTCGTTCTTCTATAAATTCGACGTACAAAAATTACCGTGGCCTACACTTTGGCTATTAATGCATGTTTTGTCTGTTTGTACGATATTATATTTGGATTGCACCAGACAATTGGGAGGATATTTCCCCGCTGTATTGATGTAATCAGTGTCGATATAGTACTTACTCTTTTTTGTAATTAAAATCATTCATTAATCACCAGTAGAAACGTTACAAACCCATAGCTTAGCATAAGCACAGCTAGCATCTAATAATAAGACACCAACAGCCATAACGATACAGATATAGTACTTTGAAATGTTTGTTTTAGTACTCCCGGTTAAACTATAAATATGTGACTTTATGATTTGAAACTTTTGATCTAATGTTGAGTTTGAATTGTGTTTTACTTGATTATTTATTTCAAATATCAGATTTATAAATTAAAATAAATGTTTTACTCTTTATATCAACGTCTATTGCATTATTCATGCTTTATTTAAATACTTATCAAGCTTCTTGGTGAAATGATCTATGATACAAATTAGGTATACGGAGCTTAGGCCTTTTGGTTGCCATCCCATTTCAATTTTAGGGACTTGTGTAGCTCAGGACGAGCAGCTTAGTTAGGACTACTCCAACTTGAATTCGTGGAGGTATAGTGATGAGTATTTGTTTGAGTCACCGAGACTTAATCTCAGTTGACTAGTTCATTTCTTGTCATACAGGTTTCATATATTATTATATTCTTTTAGTTTTATGCAAGGCTATTCATATGGCATGCATATTATTTTCTTTATGTATTTTTTTTATATATGAATGGTTGTTATATAAATAGGTTATTGCTTCATGCATGATTTGTTAATTGAAATTTATTTTGTTTATGTATTTAAATGCATATGGTTGGGTCATTTTATAAGGGATTGGTTAGCTTGGTGCGGGTAGATTACTGAGTGTCGGCTACATAATTTTGGAGTGTGACAACTCTGATACCGTTGTTAAGAAATCAGAGAAAGTAGAGAGAGCTGAAGAGAGAACGATTGATAGCTCATTGCATTAAAAACATAGGAGTTTATAACTATCTATATATAATTAAAGATAATAAAATAAAGAGAATATTGTGTCTTTCTTATAGATCCTAAATTAAAAGGAAGTAAATATTCTACAATTATTATATAAAATTTCCACTAACTAAAAGGAAAACATATATTCAATAATTAATGTAGATCCTAAAGTAGAAGGAAAGTAATTATTGTAGAATATTTCTAAATATATTTTAACACTATGTAACATTAACATTCTCTAAGTATTTTTTTCAATCTGTAGTTCTCATTTACGACAAAATTTTATAGTCTTAGAATCAAGTGACTCATTAATCCATATTTTATGTCGTACTCCCTCAATTCCTTTTATATGTTACTTTAGTCAAAAAGAATTGATCCAAAATATTGATCACTTTAGAAATCAAGAAGGCATAATTTTTTTTTTAATTTCATCATTACTATTTCAATACGGCATATAGTCAATAGTAGTTTATTTAAGGAAGAAGTCAAATATTTCTTATGACTAAGTAGTAAGTACTATCAGAAGATTTTTTTAATGGACGGAAAAGAGTGAATCAATATTGCTTCTTAAAGTAATTGTTGTGAGACGATAGGCAGATTTTATGCATAAACTAATAATTTAAAGTACTGGGATGGAGAGTATACCCATTTTTGCTCATGTCATGAAAACCCTTGAGTTCCATCAACAGTGAATTCCTAGTGGTCCAAGTGGTGGCTTCTTCATTGAAGTAAGATGTAATCATCTTACATATTATACGAGATTTAGCCCATGCAAGTCGTTCCCTTGACTTTTCTACCTCATATGTACTTGCAGCAGCTAAGAAATAAGAAACTAGGAGGTATTTTTTGCTTATTCCAAAATGTTGGAAATTGCACTTCTCGTACCACCTGTTCATGTGATATATATATATATATATATGGAGCAAAATTATTAAGAAGATTGAAAGGTTGGCATTTAATAGTTTATGAACATATATAAGAAGTTTCAAGTGCTTACTCTTGCATAATCAGCCACTCAAATCGATGTTGACTTTGGCATCTGTTGTAATCTAATTTTGCAGCTTGTAAATATACGTTGTTGCTTACATCGGGCATTCTACATGGGCAAACAAGTAAATAAAATTATCGTGAGAGAATTGACACAAATTTTATATGTCTTCACACAATGAGATGCAAATGCAATCTTGTTTACTAATTTAGTTGAACTTTGTTGGCCTGAGTAAATTTGTTTTGATGACTAACAAAGGAACGCATGGATGAACCAGGTCCATACACAGTGTACACAGGGCATGGGCAGATTCAAGCACAAGGCATGCACGTGAATGAGATAAGCATAAGTGGTTATATCTGATATCTCTTGAACAGAAATGTTGTATAATTGATAAGGAGCACGACTCCTTAATTGACGAGAAATCTATCCTAGATAAGGGAGGAGTTAGGAGTTGAAAATAACTAGAACTCTTCTACCATGGAAGAGTATAGCATTAGAACTCTAGTTACTTCTTTTTCTACTAACTCTATAAATATCAGTGGTGTTTTCTTTCATAAGTGACGCACAAACACTGAAATTAAGCAAGAATTGAGAGCAAAATAGCAAGGCATTTTGCAAGCAATTTCTGTGTGTTTCAAGTGTGTGAACCTGAAGCTACATGAACCAAATAGAAGAACCAGTTCCAAATGTCTGTCTTTTATTCTAGTTCAATTGTAATAGGGCTTTTGAGTTATCCTTTCAGCTTTCTCTAGAAGCATTTGTACTAGGTACTTTGAGTTGTATTCTTCAAGTTAGAGTTGACTTGAAGTTGTCGCAACAGCTTGAGGTTGGTTGCCACAAAGGGCTAGAGGTAATCCTTAGGTTTACAAGAATTTTGTAAACGCTAGTTTTTGGCTCGGTGATTTAATGAAGTGTTGGAAAGAATCCTACTGGGAAGTAGGTCGTGGTTCTTTCACCTTTTGAGCCGGGTTTTTTTCACATAAAATACTTTTGTTCTTTACTTTCTGTATTTATTACTCCACAACTTTAGTATAAGGAGCTCATAGAAGAATTAGGTCCTTCTATAATTTGCACACGCAAAATATTAGGCACCACACAAATCACTCCCTCCCCCCTCTTGTGTGGTATTGAAGTATAAAATATCAATTGGTATCAGAGCAGGTTATCCTTGAAGACGCTAATACCTTAGGAGAAGATCAAGATGAGTGCACCACCTGAATATTGGAAAGGAAAATCTACTGTGAGACCACCACTCTTTAATGGCCAGTACTAATCTTAATGGAAGTCAAGGATGAGAGATCACATACAGGAAGAGGACTATGAGCTATGGGACATTGTCACTAATGGTCCACTCACTACTTTGAAGAAAAAAATGCTGAAGGGGTAGATATGCCAAAGACAAGAGCTGATTGCAATGCTGAGGATTTGAAGAAGTGGGAAAAGAATGCCAAAGCCAAGAAATGGCTTGTTTGTGGACTTGGTCCAGATGAGTACAGCATAATCCAAGGTTGTTCTACTGCCAAACAAATTTGGGACAAACTGCAAGCGGCCCATGAAAGAACAACTCAGGTGAAGAGATCAAGAGTAAATATGTTGTACTCTCAGTATGAAAACTTTGATATGAAGGATGAAGAAACCATTCAGAAGATATACACAAGATTCACTGCATTGACAAATGACCTAAAATCTCTTGGCAGGATTATCCCTGAAGAAGAAAGGGTTGAGAAGATATTTACTAAGGTCTTGCCAATTACTTGGGAAAGCAAGATCATTGCTATTGAGGAATCAAAGAATATTGATGCACTCCCTTTTGATGAATTGATTGGAAATCTCACTATTTATGAACTTAGGAGACAAACCATAAAAATAGATGTACCAAATAAGAAAAGGAGTTTAGCATTCAGAATACTGAAGGTTGTGACCTGGAAGATGATGAAATGGCAATGATCACCAAAGACTTCAAAAAGTACCTAAGGAGAGAAAATGGTTCTTCAAGAAGTAGAAACTATAGCAAGGCAAGAGCTCCAGAGAAGCAAACCAATGATGATTGCTACAAGTATGGAAAGACTGATCACATGATCAAGATCTGTCCTTTGTGGGATATTGAGTGGAAGAAGGAAAGAGTTGAAGGAAGCAACAGGAAGAAGAAACAGGTTCATCTCAAGAAAGGCAACAACAAAGGATCAACCAAGGCTATGGTTGCTGCTTGGAGAGAAAGCTCAGATGAAAGCTCCGATGATGATGATAATGATGATGAACGAGCAGTAATGGCAATTGGAGAATCTAATGAAGAAGCCGAGGTAAGTGTTTTTTATCTCAAAGACAAGATTAAATTTTTATTTAAAGAAAGATTATCGGAATTACTACTAGAGTTGATTGATGAATCTGAGGATGTTTATAATAAAAAGCAACAGCTATCAAAAGAATAATTCATTTTGAAGACTAAGTGCAAAAACCTGAAATTTAGGGCTTGTGAAACTGAAAGTAAAAGCACCATGTTAAAGAACCAGGTTCATGCCCTTGATACAACTGTTCTATAACTTAGATTTAAAAATCTAAAATTGAAATTAGGAATAGGTAAAACGATAGCCGGCGGCATATAACTCACTCTAGAAGAGAATGTAGGTAAAATAAAATATGAGTTGTATAAAAGGGATGAACAGGTAAGAGTCTTAAAGGAGGACCTGAACAAGGTCAGGCATGAGCTAGACAGAACTTGTAAATGGAACAGGTCCTCTAATGTACTTTCATGGCTACAAGAATATCATAGTAGCAACAAAAGATGACTTGGCTTTGGGAACTCTGCACCTAAGTGGGATCCCAAAAGTAAGTACCTCACACTTCCTGAGAATAAAATTTGCACACACTGTGATAACACTGGTCACTATAAGAGTGATTGCACTGCAAAATAAAGGACATATCAAAACAATAAAAATTTTGTTTTAGGGAAAAATAGGCTGCCAAGTTGGGCTAAAAAGATTTGATTTATCCTTTTGCCTATAAAAAGGGACCCAAACTAGTTTGGGTTCCTAAGACTAACCCCTGATTCCCTTTTGCAGGTCCAAGTAAAGGGGAGCAGCCAAATATGGTACATGGATAGTGGTTGCTCAAAGCACATGACAAGAAGCAAGAACTAGTTTCTTTCACTTGAGGACCTTAAAGAAGGTAATGTCTCCTTTGAAAATGGAAAGAAAGGTTAGATCATTGGGGTTAGAAAGGTAGGTGAGTCTGATTCTCATTCTATTGAGAATGTCTACTTGATAGATGGACTGAAGTATAGTTTAATAAGTGTATCACAATTGTATGATAGAGGTTGCATGGTAGCCTTCACCTCTACAAAATGCTTGGTGATAAATCTTACTACTGACAAGATAGTTTTGCAGGAAAAAAGAGTGAATAACATATATGTGGTGGATCTGTTCACACTTTCAGATAATGAACTCACTTGCTTAAGTGTATTGGACAATGATCCCCTCCTTTGGCACAAGAGACTTGGACATACAAGTCTAAGCCAACTCAACAAACCAGTCTCCAAGTACTTGGTGATAGGACTGCCTAACATTAAGTTCAAAGAAGATAATGTTTATGATGATTGTGCAAGGGGGAAGTAGATAAGATCCTCTTTTAAAAGCAAAAAATAATGGTAAGTACTACCAGGATGATGGAACTGGTCCATATGGATCTGTGTGGACCAATGAGAACAATGAGCAGAGGTGGTAAGAGATATGTTATGGTGCTTGTTGATGATTACTCTAGGTTTACTTGGACACTATTTTTAACATCTAAAGATGAAGCATTTGACATGTTCACCTAAAAGGCACCACTGATCTCTGCCTATGGTATCCAAAAGATAGTAATTTCAACTTAGTGGGATATGTTGATGTTGATTATGTAGGTTTTCTTGTGGATAGAAAGAGTACTTCATGTATGGCATACTTTCTTGGCTCATGTCTTGTGTCTTGTGCTACTAAAAAGCAAAATTCTGTGGCCTTGTCTACTGTTGAAGCTGAGTATATGGTTGCTGCCTCATGTTGTGCTCAATTGTTATGGATCAAACAAAAATTAATGGATTTTAGAATTGATGTCGGTTGTATCCCCATCTTTTGTGACAACACTAGCACAATTAGTATGACCAAGAACCCGGTTCATTACAAAAGCACTAAGCATATAAATATTAGGCTTCACTTTTTTAGCGATAACATTGAGAAAGGTTTGATCATTGTAGAATTTTGTGCTACTGACAAGCAAATAGCTGATATCTTCACAAAAGCTCTAAGTAGAGATCACTTTTAAAGGAATATATTAGAATTAGGGATGATTAAGATCACCTAAAAGGAACCAGTCTAACGCAATAATTAGTTAGATAATTTGTGAATTTGATAAATAATTATATTAGATATTTCTCAATCTCATACTTTCATTAGTATACTATTGTGCCATGTGCTAAAAACTCCACTGATCTTTAATGATATTACCCTTATTTTCTTGAAAAATTTAGTCTTACACAAGAGAACTCTCAATGAAGAACCCGGTTCATCAAAATTATAAGGTATGTATTCTCCACTCCGCATATTTTGGAATAATTGTATTTGAATCATGATATGAAAGAGTCCTACTTAATCCTAACTTCCTTTTTGAACCAATCTGTTACTAACGAACCAGTTTCACCAAGGAGTCACACGCACCATAATTACCTACAATCTAGGGAAGAGTCCAACGTCTATTCAAACTGACATTCCCAGGATGATTAGACTTCTAATCTCCAAAAGGCAGTTGTTACACACTCCAACTCTTCCCTCTTTAAATTGATTAGACTCTAACCATTTCTCACCTCTGATCTTTAATGAATATTCAAGACGCCAAAATTCTCTCAACCTTCTCTCATCTCTTTTACACTTATCTAATGGCAAACCCATCTAAAAACCCCAAAATGACTGAGAACCTTTCTTCACCACCCAAAGAACCATCACCCACACCTTCAACCACCCCTACTCCCAAGAAAGGACATGTTAAGATGATTGTTCATAAAGCAATCGCTGGTAGTGAACAAATCAATGAAATGAATGAGAAATTGAAAGCAAGTCAGGCAGAGGAACCCCAAAAATCAGATGAATCCTTCAAGTCTGCAACTGAGGGGGAAGAACATGTTTCATCTAAAACAGAATAGGTAACTTCTACGCTAAAAATCTCATCTGATGTTGTCTCTTATGTGGCTGAAAATCTGGAGAGAAGGTTTGTTCTTGTTGGTACTATAGCTGGTGTAGAGTCTGAGTATACTAAAATAGGTGGTAAAAATAAAAAAGGGAAAAGAAAAAGTGAGTGGGGTTGAAACAGGAGATGTGAGGGGAAAGGGAGAAGAAGGAGTGGCTAAATCTTCACCCATTCATGTTGGTTTGATTGAAGAAACAGGGGCTATGATGATATAGAGTGAGGAGATTGTTGAGGAGGAAGAATGAGGCAGTAGGTCTGGAGATGCAAGTGCAGTGGAGGGGCTAGTTAAGCTAAGGAAAAGGTTCCAAGAACTTGTTGCATCTGAGAAGGAACCCCTCCACGACCTTTTGAAAATGGTGTCTGATAGCTATAATCCAAAGAAGAAGAAGATTCCAGGAGTTAAAATCCCTGGTACTGCTATGGAAGCAAGAAGAGAAAGTCTGCCTCTTTTATCCCTATAGATACTCCTCCTACAAGAGGAAGAGCTACAAGGAGTCACAGGAATCAGAATAAGGCTGACCTAGAAAGGACCTTAGGTAAGAGTAAAACGAAAGTTACTGCTAAAGGAAAGAAAAAGGTGGGTAAACCAAGTGATACAATTGAGATTGAGGAGATGGACCTAGTTCTCCATGATGAGGATGAGGCAGAGGAAGTGGAGGCTATGACTCCAAGTGCTAAGAAAAGAAAGACTTCCAAGAAGAAGTCCCCCACAAAGTCTGTAGATACAGAAAGCTCTGCCTTGGCAAAAAGAACCAGGTCTGCCAGAAAATCAAGAAAAGTGCAAATAGTGGAAGAAGAGAGTGAGGAAGAAGAGGAGACTGATGAAAACAAGACAAAATGGGTAAGTTTAGAAAAAGAACAATTTTAAAGGATAGACTCCATAGAGATTTAGAGGAGGAATGAATGATGTTGTTGTTGGAGAAATTAAAAATTCAAGGCTGGAAGGACATGATCCTTCAGTTGGAAGGGAAACTAGTCTGAGCTGAAATTGTGGAGTTCTTTGCAAACTATGAAATCAAGAATGGAAGGGTAACTAGTGTAGTGAAAGGGGTGAATGTGAGCTTTGATGACAAGGAACTAGGAGAGATTCTAGGGGTACATGCTGAATGGTACAATGACTACAAAAAGTTGAAATGGCCCAGACTAGAAAACCTACCTATCTCACTTTCCATCACCAAGAAATTTGCTGACAGAGACTTAGAGCTACAACCCAGGGTTGTTTATAAGAGTGAAATAAAACCTGCCAACAAAGTGCTCTTTGAATTTGTCAACAAATTGGTTCTGCCCAGGCAGGAAAGGAGGCACATTGCTCTCTTTATGGACATAGTCCTTATGAAGCGTTTGGATAGTGGGAGGCAGATTAATTGGTCGAGGTTTACAATCCAGCTCCTTGATAGGGTACTTTTTGGCACTAAAACTCATGCCATACCCTATGGGTTCATACTCACTGTTGTGCTTGCTCACTTTAAGGTTCTCCTCAAGAAATGGGATGTTAGCACAAGTAAAGATCACTTTGGGGCCAACACTTTGACTACATGTGACTATGAAGTCCTTGTTGCTCTCAAAGAACCTGGTTCATCCAAGAGGGTGCCTGTGAACAGCAAAGTGAGAGCTTTGGGACAGGAGAGTGAGGCTAAGGATGCTGAGATTGAGAGGCTGAAGAAGAGGCTGGCTGAAGTAGAAACTGAGAGGGGTGCTCTCAGGTCTAAGCTTGCAAAGGAGAAAGAGAAGAATACTGGCATTCTTCAAGACATGTTGAAGCTGCTTCAGGCCAGAAACCAAGAACCTGGTCCTTCCTAGCCTAGTTTGTAACCAGTGACTCGAGTGGGACGTTTCTTTTTGTCTTTTTTTGCTCATGGTTCAATAACTTTATTTCTTTTTATGCTTTGTAGATGAATCTTATCAATGATAATCACTGTCTTTGCTCTAATAATTTGTTGATATTTCTTAGATGGCTAATATTCTTAGATTGATAAGAGAAGCTTAAATCCATGATTGCATTTGAAGTAGCCTCAGTAGCCATGAGTAAGATCTTCTACAATTTGGTTATATAACTTAATTATGCAACTTTTCGATGATACCAAAAGGGGAAGATAGGTTGTGCTTTTACTTTGAATTGTGATATTTATAACCTGATGAACTCGAACTTTATGATATGTGACTTTAAAATGGAGAGTGTTCTAACATTGTGTTGATGTTGAGTTGAGTTGAAATAGATTTCATGCTTATGAAAAGCACAGAGTTTGTCATCATCAAAAAGAGAGAATTTGTTGGCATGAGTAAGTTTGTTTTGATGATTGACAAAGAAATACATGCATGAACCAGGTGCATACAAAGTGTACACAGGGCACAGACATATTCAACCACAAGGCATACACGTGAAGGGGATAAACATAAGTGGTTATATATGATATCTCTTGAACCAAAAGGTTGCATAATTGATAAGGAGCAGGACTCCTTACTTAAAGAGAACTCTATCTTAGATAAGGGAGGAGTTAGAAGTTGAAGATAACTAGAACTCTTCCACCATGGAAGAGTATAGCATTAGAGCTCTAGTTATTTCTTATTCTACTAACTCTATAAATATCAGTGGTGTTCTCTTTTACAGGTGACCCATAAACACTGAAGTTAAGCAAGAATTAAGAACAAAATAGCAAGGCATTTTTGCAAGCAATGCATGTGTGTTTCAAGTGTACGAACCTGAAGCTACATGAACCAGATAGAAAAACCAGTTCTAAGTGTCTGTCTTTTATTATAGTTCAATTGTAGTAGGGCTTTTGAATTGTACCTTTCAACTTTCTCTAGAAGCATTTGTACCAGGTACTTTGAGATGTATTGTTTAATTTAGAGTTAATATGAAGTTGTCGCAATAGCTTGAGGCTCGTTTTCACAAAGGGTTAGAGGTAATCCTTAGGTTTACAAGAGTTTTGTAAACATTGTTGTTTGACTCAGTGATTTAGTGAAGTGTTAAAAAAAATCCTATTGGGAAGTAGGTCGTGATTTTTTCATCTTTCGAGCCGGGTGTTTTTCACGTAAAATACTTGTGTTCTTTACTTTGTACATTTATTATTCCGCAACTATAGTGTAAGGAACTTGCAGAAGAACGAGGTCCTTCTATAATCTGTGCACGCAAAAAATTGGACACCACACAGATCACTCCCTTGTGTGGTATTGAATTATAAAACATCAAATTCTATAATTTCGACAAAGAGCTTACGTAAATACATGTGAAAATTTAGTAAAGTTTAAATAAATATTATATTCTAAACCCATATTTTTGAAAATGCAATTAATTAAATGGTAATAACTTAAAGATTAAAATTATCAAATCTAAATTTTGGATCCGCACTTATCTATTAGGCAATTGGCAAAACTATTATGTGTTGGAAATACCTTACCGTTGGCAGGACTAGAATGTTGCAGTTTTACTAAGTGAAAAGCTCTCTAGTTCTTATCTTTGAATAGCTACATTATGTGCAGTAATAAAACCTAATGCGGAGTAACATGAGAACAGTTTGATTGTGTGGAGAACTGAAAACATTATTAAAACAGGAGAAAATAAAGTTTCACAATACATTTAAAGAGGTACCTGTATAACGTCTTGCCAATCCAAATATCATCTGCTCCACCATACTGTTCTATGTATAGCCTAGATTCTACCCGAGGTAAGCTAGCATACCATGGAAATTCTAGTGCACATTGCATCTATGAACAAATGTATGCACAGCATATTTAGTAAATTAGTCAGTGTAAAACAAGAGAGTATCAGATGTTGCAGACAGCGTAAAGAATTATTACATTATTTACACTATCGGTGTATTTAAATCTATTGTAGGGGGGGGGGGGGGTTGACACCTCTTCTTGGTTAAAATTCAATAAATATATCTATAAATGCACAAACAGTATAAAGAAACTTGTATACTACTATGTAACTCAAAAGATATCTACGTGTAGCCCTCCATAAAGTAAGTGAGATTTATAATCTTGAAATAAGACAAGTTACTTGCTACAAGTAACGGTTCCTGTTAGTGCAAAATTCTTTACAACTTTAGTCAATATTAGTTAAACTCTTTCAAGGTTACTAATCTCAACTTTGTATGGGTAGTTACGTATATTTAGCTTATAGTTAACATGCTAGGGTAAAAACTAACTTTATATTGTTAATGTATAGAAGTTAAACTTTTTTTACCTCCCCGGGGATGTCCTTAGCTATAACCCATTTGTCTAAGGAATGGTGGTTCGCAAGACATTGCTGCAAGAAATTGTACGTAAAATCCTTTGCCTCTTCAAGAATCTTTTCCCCTGGGAATAAAGCTTGGGAACATCTATAGAGATTATACATAGCTGTTGGTGACTTGTTTAATTCACCTCTTAGACAAAAGAATTGATCACCATCTTTGAACTTGTTTAGCACATCTGTGACAGATAAGAAATTGTATTAAGCCATCGAATGCTATAATTATGTGATATTACTAAGGTACTTAGAACTATGGAGCATCAAACATGGTTCAAATGCGATATAGAGAATTAGAAAGAAATGAGACTGTCTACTTTCTCACAAGCTTATCAAAGAGGACATAGGATAGCACCCTCTTACATGAGTTGCTTGAAAGGCAACTTATGTAGCGCACATTTAGAGGGCGAGGCCGTCAAATGTACAGATTCTCTAGCAAACGAATGTCACAGATTTGACAAATATGCCGTAGATGTGTTAATCTGAAAAAATGCGCTCAAGGAAGTAGAGTTTTTTCTCCTAGTATACTTAAAACATGCAGTTTAAAAAAAAATTAAAAAATGATTTAGTCTTTTCCCATGTACCAAAAAAAAAGGACTAATTAAGATAATCATTTTCCATTGACTTGCCTGGACTAACATCAAATCCGTGTAGCCTTAGCAACCTAATAGCCATGCATGTATCGTCGATATCACAAAAGTTTGAATTTCTTCCTCCAAAAATTCCAATCTCCTCGTTCCAATATCTGTAGTTCAAGAAATAAAATAAACTTGTCGCATAAATTGCTCAAAATTGATGATTCGTGCACTTGATTATGTGAATTAAGCAAATGAAAAAGAATTATATTGCTCCTTTTGTTTACCTGATCACATGGTCAAAAAGTTCTTTGAATTCTTTCGCAAAATAATAAGAAATTCCAAGGCGTTGTAATCGATCAATTGCCCAAAGTCGTGCTTGCATGTCAACTGGGTAACTATGTGGCACTAGACATAATAAAATTGGAAGTAAATATACACACGTTACAGTGAATTCAAGAATAAAATTATTCTCTTTGTTTCATTTTATACGAGACACTCTTTTATGTTTGTTTATTCAAAAAGAATGATACCTTTTTACACTTACTAACATTTTAACTTTACATTGCCTTATAGATGCCATGACATATTTTAAACTACAAGTTCCAAAAGTATTTATTTCCTTCTTAAATGAATGCCTAGTTAAACATTGTCATATAAAATGAAACGGGGAGTATGTATTTGTATGTTTTCTATTATTAGACTTAAACTTTTATAGACTTAATTATTCAACCTGTTTGAAACTGTAAAAAAGAAGTATTCTACGTACCTCCTCCATTACACTTTTCAACAACGTTTTGAAGAAATCCCAAACACTTTTCATCATTTGTTTCCATGAATGCAATGGCAGTAGATGCAGGGGATGTTAAGAATGAGCCATCCTGCATTTGAAGCTTCAAAAGCCTCTGCCAGTCCAAGTCCCTTAATCCTTCTAATGAAAACAATACTGTTGTCGGAATGGTATGGATAATATCTTTAGGGATTCTGCAATAGAGATGTATGAGTATATGACACATATATTAGTCAGCCAATGTAGGGAAAATGCAAAGATATTAAGACATAAAATAATTACGTAATTAAATTAAAAGCGAGTTCTATCTAAAGGATGAGATAGCCAATTTGACATAATAGAATTAGTAAACAAGTGATCATGTGTTCAATCTCATTGTCACCCAAAAAATAAACAATACTTCCACATGTTTAGCCTATGAAAAGAAAATCAGACTCACATGTGAGGAGCGTGTCGGGACATAATATGTAAAATTCATAAAGAAATATTTTCTCTAACAGTTTAAGTTTCTCGATGAGATAATCACAACATTAATTTTTTTTTTTTTTTTTTTTTTTTTTTTTTTTTTTTTTTTTTTTTTTTTTTAACCAAGAACCATTATGATGGTGGGGTTGGGTTTGAAGCTTAACTTTCAAATTAATGATCACGCTATTTAATATGTTACCAAAGTTTACAAGTAGAGGGCTGCGAATGCACTTTTGGATTCAACCAAAATCTGTTGTATATACGGTGACCACTACTAATAGATAACTATTTCTAAAGACATATACATATACATAGAATTTTGCCGAAGTTTATAGGTGTTGTGACCCCTCTCTGTATAACATAGGTCTGTATACAAGAGAGGCTATGTTTTAAATTTCACCCTGACCCAATAAATAAAATACTTCATGTGTTTGATTCATGAGAAAAGAATCACGAATTAGGGGGCGTGGGTGAGATACATAATTAAAAAATTTATTTTATGTAACCGTTTAAATCATTAGATAAGATGGTCACACAATCAAACAAAGTTTGAACAAAAAGTAGTCAAATTACCTTGTAAACTTTGCCTCTCTCCTTGCATAAATTTCCTTTAGGACTGGCACATCGTACGGAATGTCAATGTCTAATTTTTGAGCTTTCTCAAGGAGAGCAGGAAACACAAATTCAAATCCACAAGTCATGTTTTCAACTTCCCCGGTCTCTAGCTTGCTTAAGTTTTCTTTGATAAACATCACTCCTATTAAAGAAGAGTAACCCAATTCAATATTCCAACCTTTTTCTTATATATAAATCTTGTCTCATATAATGCATTATAGGAACCACTATTTTTCTACTTTTCAGGAAAGATTAGAGACGCTGATAGTAGCTCAGCTCTCTCAGCCCAGATGTAACTTGTTTTTGGAGTAGAATAAAATAAAATGTTGGTTATCTAAACAAAAAGTCCTTTACCGTTTAAATTAAAAGAAGAAATTGAATTCCGGCGTATGAACTAGGAAATAACATTACTATTGAGGCTTGGAATCGAACTCCTGACGTCAAGTTATAAAACGATCCTTTACCAATAAACTATTCCTGTGAAAACCTGAATTTTCTAAAACGCCTCATATAGTATTTCAAACATCAATATGACATATTAACTTCAATTTTTATGGGGAAGGCCCGCCTAGGTAGCTTGCTAAGCGTCGCACTATACGCTAGGCTTGGCGCACCCACCTTAAAAAAAAAAAAAGAATAAGTATATCTTTTGGAAATATTTATAGTATTTCTGTGATCCATCTAATATACAAAAGTTAATTTTTTTCATAAATTTATCAATTAATATTTATCATAAGAATTTACCTATATTTACTTGTACGTTAAGGTGACAAAATAAACTTGTTTTTTTTTTAATTAACCGCCAAGCTTATATATGTGGGGTTATCACCCCGCTTATTGACTTGACTCAAGAAGTTGAACCTGAAATAATCCATCAAGCTATTGGGTCAAAGAAAGTAAATTGCCATATAGGTTAAGATGCAACTGAAGCCCAGACATACAAAATTAAATTTGGAGACTGAAAATACTATATATGCAAATTTTGAAGAATTTAAGCTAATAATATAGAAAAATACGGTAAGTTTCAATTTTTATTTCAGAAAGTAAAGTATAAAAAGAAGTTTGGGTAATGTTGGGGGTCGGTTTTGCCGGTTATTGGACCCGTGTTGATCTAAGCAAACTTTGGATTGGTTGGTTGATGACGTATTTTGAGTTTTGACCTCTAACCCGCTAATTTGCCACCTTTCTTATTAGTTAGCGATAATATATAATTTAACCTGGAAGAAAAATAGCAAGGAATCATATTAAACAATAATATTAACTTCAAACTAAAGTTCACCTTTGTTTCTTTTAGGAAGGGATGTGTTCCATAAGGTCAATGCAACAAGGCATGCTAGTGTGTTCAAGAGTCGATCATATATGCAGAATACAAGCTCCTCGCCCCATGAACCATCAGGAAGTTGATTGTCTACGATCCACTTAAGACAAGATGGAAAAAGGGGTCTTTCGCTGCTTCCATTATTAGTATCATCACGAATAAAGGAAACCCAAGCTGTGTCATAGGGTGACACACTTGACCTTCCATCTCCCATCGAACTCAACATATGTTTGATCTCCTCTGTCAAATTCTTGATCGTTATTGATGTGGTTACCTATTGAGAAAACCAGTTTTTAAGTATATATAACATGTGTATAATTTTGCAAAAGTTGAACTTCTATATTTGAAGCACTAGCTAGTGAAACATTGAAAACTTATTCTAGGAGGGTTTCAACTAAATAATCTATTTTACTTACAAAACTTTAACTTTTTTTTCTAAATAAAATAAATCTGCAACACAATGACCTAGTATGTTTTCCTAAAGATGTGAAAAGAAAGAAAGAAAGAAAGATGATAAATTTTTTAAATTTCACGGTGACCATCAAAGAGCGGATATATATTTGGTGAGTTATGTGAGTTTAATTGAACCCGTTGCTTTTCCGTTTTGAACTATGTGTATAAATATAAAAACATCAAAAATTATACATTTAATATATAAGATCATACAATGATAACATACCCAATATATTCTCACGGTGTAGGATATTTAATAAGATCATAATCATTTTAAATCTACGGATTCTATATCATGGATTTGCCTCTACTGACGATAAATTAAACTTCTAATGAGCATCTTACGTTTTAATATACGCAAATTTCACCATTTTTAGAAACAATTTTATCACAAATTTGAAGAATGTAAAGCTAGTAAATAATCTTCTTATCACCTGAATGTCTTCCGCTTCGTAGTTATCTGGGTAATCAGATTGTAGCTCATCCACATTACCTGAACAAAATGTAGATCATTTAGAAAAACTTGCTTTCTGGTTTTAATTAATTTGTAAACAAATTAATCTTTAGGCAATAGATGCTCATACCAAAATAACTTGCAGCATTAGGGGGACAATTGAAACGAACTGGTCTATGAACAAGTGATGAGCCTTTAGTTTGGAACAACCAATTTCCTGAAAATATACCAAATAGAAAGACAATGACTTATTAATTATAATTAGGTATACTACTACTAAGGTAACAAAGACTTAAGTAATTGCCAGTGATATGCCGTCCTAATTGTTAAAATTTTAAATGTGCTAATGAGAGTGTACGTGAGGACGAACAGAGAACTTCGTCACTAATTGACTAAATACAATACCCAAGCCAACTTATAAAGGTGGGCTTCGCCTCCCCAGCTAATTATTAATATAGTAATAGACTTATGGAATATGTTACGAGTCTATGGTTATAATATATATCACATGTTATTACATAGGGGATTTACCCAATGCTCACCACAAAGTGCTCGCCCGCGAATTTCCCCTCTTACCAAAAAAAAAAAAAAAAACACCCGGCATCCCCACCTTAATTCTTGTACGAGTGGTGAACATTTATTAAACTAAAACTTTTAGGCTGAAATATAAGCGGACAGATGCTACTCTCGGTAAATGGTCAAGCAATAATTTAATTGAAAAACATAGATCAACGCAAGAAATATCCATCTCTCTTACTATTACTCACTATGTTTAATTTATGCAATACTATTTATATGAGTATGAAATTTAAAAAAGAAAAAAAACTTTATTTAAAATATGATTTAGACATTTATATAATTATAATACATCTCATTAAGGGTGTAATATAAAATTTAGTGTTATATTATTTCAAATTTAGTGTTTATATATATATATAACAGGAATAACAGAAGGAAATAGGAATAACACAGTTGTTTTTGAAACATGACATTTTCATCGTCCTAGTTTGTACCTGCTTTATTAATTCAAAACTGGAAAGAGAAAAAACGGACAATTCAACTCAGACGTAGCTCTTTTTTTCCTTTTTACTTTTCGGGTACGAAGCAGTGTCAAACCAAAATATTACTTCCAAGTTTGGATTAAACTTTTTCTCTATTTAAAAATAAAATAAAAAAAGAACCCTTCCTCCTTGAGATTGGGTGGGAGCAGTGGCGGAGCCACATGCACTCAAGAGGGGTCAGCACTCAAGAGGGGTCAACCGACACCCTTTAATCGAAAATTACATTGTGTAGTTAGGTAATTCTTTTTAAAATATATATATATATATATATTGATACCTTTTGACTTCTTGTTGAGTTTATTTTTTTATATTTTGACCCCCTAAAATCCTGATTACTCCGTTGAGTGGGAGGATGAGCTTCTCCTCGGTAGTAGGTCGAATGAAAGACAAAAGTGCAGGACAGGAAAAATAAAAAAGAACCAATTTGACTCAACATTTTCTGACATAGTTGATAGTTCTGAAATTCTATTACAAAAATGTCAAGATTCCATATATAGTGTGGAAAAGTTGTCAACAATATCCAAATATCAAAGCACCTAACTTTCTCTATCTTATGAAATTTTGTTCTAATTTTCTTGCAAGAGATGTCAAAGGAAATGTCGGATTTCATATTATTAGAAGCAAAAGGAAATGTCGGATTTCATATTATTGGAAGCAAAAGGAAATGTCGGATTTCATATTATTAGAAGCAAAAGGAAATGGGAAGTTATCATGAGAATAAAAAAATGGGGAATTCTACGCGTCATGTCGCCAATACACATACCTTTAATTTTTATACATTAACACTGTAAATTTTACATTATCAGAGATACGTACATATACTACTCATAATAAGTGGAATGAGAGACCTGAAAAATAAAACCAATTACTTAAAAATTAATTTACACTCATTTATAGTGTAAATGTTTTACCGTGCTAGTGTATATATGACAAATCCCTTAGGAGTCATTTCGTTGCCATGATAACGTATAATAATTTGGGGATAAAATGTAAGATTATTTAATCATATGTTTGGTTAAATTATTTATTTTAGTATAAGCAATTCCGAATTATTTATACCACAATTGTGATATTATTTTTATAACACACTCAAACATTTGTTTAATTACCCTTCTTCAAAGCTCTTTTTCCGAAATCCTTTAAGAAAGCAAGCTTAAATTGGAACTAAAAGTTTAATATTAGAAAACCAAACATTTGTTTTATATTATACCATATACTAGTGGGAGCTCCAAAATTCTGATTTCATGGGTTTAATATTTAAGTTATTACCGTTGCATATATTTTATTTTTGAAATTATGGGTTGAGAATGTAACAATTGTTGAAATTTTACTAAATTTGTACAAATAATTATGCTTCGTATTGAGATTATCAGGTTCAGTTGAACTCAACAAATAAGATTCCATCCGCCTCTGCATGTATATCACATTTTTACTCCAACGAACCAATATTACTTTTTTTAAAAAAATATCTTCTCAATGAAAGTATATACTAAATAATCTTGTCATTATATAATCTCTATATTGTAATCCTCACATTATAATTTCAATATAAGTTAGGTCAGAAAACTAAATATCCTCTTGCAGTAACATGAATAAAGTAACTTACTGGGGCGGCCGTGTTTAATAATAAACTCAGCTTGCTGCGTAGACAACAAAGTAGGATTGTTGAATTGATGAATTGTGCAGCAAACTCCATAGCTGGATATAACCTGCATTTTCTGGTTGTTTTTAATATTATTCTTTCTCCAGAATATATACTGGGGGAGAGAGAGAATCAAGTTTTGAGAGAGAAAGACACTCTAAGTTGTGAAGCAATGGAAATGGTTTGAGCTGTTGTGATACTGCTCGCCTATTTATAAATTGACTCTTTGCCTCTTCAGCCAATTTCGATGTGCTCATTGTTTTGGAATCTTTTCCTCTTTAGCCTAATTCTTTTTCATTGTTTTGGAATCTGTACATGAGTAAAGCGTCAAACGCCCTGTAAATATATATTTCTATAACGTTTCCTATTAAAATATATTTTTGTTATCATACTTTTGATCTGTTTTCTATCTTAAAATTAATTAATGGAAGACTACGGTGTCATGATCCAAAAACCCCACCAAGTTGTGATGACACCTAAGTCAACCCGTTAGATAAGTCAAGCAATATGAATTACTACTAACTGTACCCGGCCTCAACATGACTCAGCACAGTCGGTCTCGAGAGGACTCGGTAGCCTCATGTTGCTCCCAATCGCACATGCAAGTATACGTGGTCGTGCAAGTAATATATGATTGTAAGTCCAGATATAGTACCTACATGGATTTGTGATTAACTAATTACTAAATTAAACTACGACAATTAATCTATTCAAACGATTTGCTAAAGTATGAATATTTAATTAAAACTAATCTAAAGTAGCAAACTAAGAGATTAAAGAAAACAAGTCGGCAATCTTAGAGAAGAGTTCAATGTGAGAGAATATTTCAGAGTTATATGGGTTAGCTAACAATTCCGTTGAGTTTTTCACTTAAACTGTCTAATTAATTTATCTGATTTATTGATTGGCACGGTTAATATTACTCGTAGTATCCTCCCGAAGTACTACTCGCATATTCAAGCTAACCTAACACTTATATTTCTATGAAATTAGGATTAACAAGAACACATTAATAATTCCCGTATAGTAACTGTTTACCCTAAAAATTGAGTAACAATTAAACTTATGTTGTGGTTTTAAGGATATGTTATTTAAACCAGTACCAATTGATAAACAGCGAATTAAATAGATAAATTGGATAGTAAAATAGATCAAACCGGTCTGCAAACAATTCCTCGACCTTGACTCAAGATAGTCTCGAGGTTAGTTAATAATAACAACATAGGATGGAACAAGTAGTGATGAACAGTAAGTAAGACAAAGAATCTCGCCATTTCGTTATTATGCTGCCCTCGAAGTCGGTCATACTTGGTCTCGATTGTTGCTGGCCTCGGTCTCAACGTACACTTCGATCTCTAGGCTTGATGTCTCATCTTCGAACTCGGGTTTAATTTATTACGAGGCTACCCCCGATGCAATTCCCTTGTCTCAATCAAATAAAAAAATCGGGTAGGCCCAATTTTGACAGTATACAGATAGTCCCCTCGTTTCTTGAAATGTAATGAGAAGAAACAAAATGAGCCTTCGATTTAGTACCTCGACCAATTATGACGTCAACATCGTGACATAAGCGACAGAAGCGATTGAAGCATCGCGTCTGCACAGTTCCCAAGGTCATTAATTAACGCCAATTGATGGTCCGCCACTTGTGCTTTCAAACCGTCAAAGTGGCTATTATAAATAGACCACCTCCATAATCCTCTTAAACTTTACTTTCAAATTTCTTCTAATCCTGAAAAAACTCTTGTATTCTCTTCAAGTTCATCAACTTTGCCGGTTTCCTTTTTCCAATCTCTAAAGAACAAATTCAGCGTTCTTCTTCCTTAAACCTCATATAGCAATGGAAAAAACATCAAAATCCGTTCCTCAAGAAGAAAAAGCCTCCTCGTCGCGGCCGGCCGATGGCAAAACACCGGTGGAGCCACGTATTGAAGAGTGCATCCCCAGGCCATGTGAACTTACTTCCGACTTTAAAGTCGAAAAACCCTCTTCNAGCGTTCTTCTTCCTTAAACCTCATATAGCAATGGAAAAAACATCAAAATCCGTTCCTCAAGAAGAAAAAGCCTCCTCGTCGCGGCCGGCCGATGGCAAAACACCGGTGGAGCCACGTATTGAAGAGTGCATCCCCGAGCCATGTGAACTTACTTCCGACTTTAAAGTCAAAAAACCTTCTTCGGTTCCTGGCCGATGCGAGCCCATGTCTAGATATATTTATCCGATATCCGAAGGCGATCTCGAGCAGGTGAAAATGGATTGCTGCTGGGAGAATAAAGAGGTGGTGATTCCTACCCCCGAAGAGGACATCACCACTCATGTGAAAAGTTTTTTTAAGTGTGTATACTTACCCTTTCACACTGGGTTCCGTCGATCTCATCATAATCGACTTCTGCCGCTAATACCGGGTAACCCTAGGCCAGATCTACCCCTCTTTTTGGCATATTTCCATTTTGCTCAGATTATTCTCGAGCAAGATCGAGGGGATGTCTTTCACCCTCGATCATCTCATTAGGCTATACAACCCCTATCTTTATCTGGACGGACTGATAAGGCTTTAGCGTCGAGCCACGAAGGTACTATTCTCGAGCATAGACGAGAGCAAGGACCGAGGATGGATGTGCCATTTTGTCCGAGTCAGGACCTCCAATTTAATCCCCGCCGAGAAGATGTCATTCCCCGAAGAATGTAATATGAAGCGTAAGTAGAACTTCACCGATAACGTTTGATTACCTGTTACGTTTCCTTTATCTCTTCTCATCTATATTCTTCTTTCTGGTGCAGCTTCCCCCTGGTTTTCTGGTGCAGTCCTGGGCCTTGCAGGTTGGGTTCGACAACTAGTTTCAACCTCCTCGTATGCTGAGCACTCGTGGCGCGATTTAGCCAAGGGTCGATGGGAGGCAAAAAATCATGGTAAGTTCCCCTATACGTGTTTGATGATTTCCTATGAAATATTTCTTTTTAACTTGATTTCTTCTTATACAGGTCTTGGAGATAATGTCGTCATGAGGTCGCCTCCCCTCGGGGAAGAGGAGGCCCCGAAGCCAACCAAAGACAAGAAAAGGAGAAGGGCCTCGACTCCAGATACCCCAAACCCAAGAAAAGTAGGGCTCGAAAGTCGAAGATTGATCCCTCCATTCTGTCTGTCGATGTAGCCCAAACGCTACGAGATGAGGACAAGGAGGGAGAATGTGCCGACTGCCTGTTGGTGGCTCGGAAGAGGAAAAGCGTCGAAGCTTCGATAACTGCTAAACCGGTGGCGGTCAAGGAGGTTCAGCCGCAGATCGAGGTGATCTTGGGGGAAGGTCCGAACAAAGTCCCTGAGGCATCGACAATTGATGACGCCTCCTGCCGTGATGAGCAACCGGCGGGTGTGCCCGAAGGATCTAGTTCTGAGGCCCTTCAAAGAGAAGAGAATGCCCCGAGTGACTCACTCGGGGCAATTAATATCGATGATTAGCCACTCGATCCCACGTTCTTCGAGGGGAAATTTCGGGATGCCCGGTCCATGGGAACCCCCGAAGTGGGGACGGCCCCCAAAGGGGACGATATATTTCGTGGTTGCTTCATAGGGGTCGATGATGTTTCTGACCTTGACGCATCACTCATTTTTTATGAGGCTCAGCGGCTTCTGAACCATGTGAGTTTTAGCACATGCTACCATGCTTGCGTTTGTTCTTATTTCTCTAAGTCTGATTTTCTTTCTTACTATATAGTCTACAATGCTCCATCGAGAAGCGTCATACTTGGTCTCAATTGTTGCTGACCTCGGTCTCAACGTACACTTCGATCTCTAGGCTTGATGTCTCATCTTCGAGCTCGGGTCTTATTTATTATGAGGCTACCCCCGATGCAACTCCCTTGTCTTGATCAAACAGCAAAATCGGGTAGGCCCGATTTTGACCATATACAGTAACTAAGTAAGGCGATTAGGTATATCCCTATCCTAACCGCAAATCTGTTCCCGATGCTCAGGTTCAAGATCATGCTCTACTCAATCTCATTTGCAATCTAAAATTCTCTCTCCTGAGTTCAATCCTAGATTTGTAGATAGTATTCAATTGGTGATCAAACAATCAAATAATTAAGTACAAGATTGAATAAATAAATCAATATTGATAAAATAATAAGAACAATTCAAGTTTCAAACTACAATATTCATGTTGCACCCACAACCCTAGAACTAATACACTATAAAATTAGAAAGAGAGAAGAAAAACTCGTTGTTGAAGTCTCCCAAGCACTACAACTGCATTTCTTATGTTCCTATCGTGGAAAAAAAAATCCATGTCCCTTGTTGCTTTTCCTTTATATAGAGCTGGGAATTGAACGAGTTGTCCCTATCCAATTTCACTTAGGACTTGTGTTATATTTTTGTTACCAAGCTGAACCTTGATAATTTTCACTCTAAATTCTAGTTGCTTTGAACGTTGCCAGCAATACCTAACTTCCTAACCATTTCTTGTTTGGGTTTGACATCAAATTTCTCCAATTGCAACTCCACCGCAAGTTGTGATTCCAGGCAGCTTCAGTTTCCAACTTTTCTTCCTTCAGTCTCAAATTAACTTCAATTTTTCCTAACCATTATATTAACACCCAAAATCAGTCCAAAATCATTAATTAAGCTAAGTTGAGCATATTCGACATACAATTCAAGAAAAAATTGGCAAAATGCGAGTAAAATAACGTTAAAACATATACAAATATACCCAACATAACAACCCCACACTTAAACCTTTGCTCGTCCTCGAGCAACCGAAACTTTACAGCTTCAACCACACAATTCAAGAGACCACATCATGAGGGAACATATAACAACTAAGCACACTACACCTATGACTATGGTTGATAACAATAATTAAGCTCTAGTAAATGTACTTTCCATAGACTTCCCACTTTTTCATGCCAAACTTATTCAATATACTCATGATAATCCTAGTCTCAAAAATCGACTCAATGTCAGAAAACACCCATGGCTTGAACACTCACCCTAACTGAGAAGTCTAATAACATTACCAATCCATTGCGAAATCATGTGCCCTCACAAAAAAATAAAGAGAGTAGATAGTCTGCATATTCAAATCAGTTATCCAAATGTACTTAAGGACTCACACATAAGAAAAAAATCACTTACTCTCACAAAGAAGTCACATGCATGCAAGAAGA